AAGTACTGATGGGGTGGTCATAATAATCTGCCCACTCAATAGATAGATAGATAGATAGATAGATAGATAGATAGATAGATAGATAGATAGATATAGCTAATATGCAAACTGTCCCCTTGGGAGTTTGCCCAGGAGACCGTGAGTTCGATCACTCTCTATGACATGCACTGACCACCAGGGGGAAGCGTGGAACAAAGGAAGGCCCCAGCTGGCAGCCAGAAGGCCCTGATTGGCCCTGATCGTTAGCCAGGCCTAGGGACCCTACCCGTGCATGAATTTCATGCATGGGGCCTCTAGTTGGTTAATAAAAGTAGTTAAATGTAGTGCTCTATGGGAGAGAGGAGCAGATGGAAGAGGAGGCAAGCAATGCAGAGGGGAAAGACAGGGACTCTGAATGAGTCCTGGAGGAGCCCCAGGAATGCAGCCTGGAACCCACCAAGTCCTTACATGAGGTGCCCTCTAACACAGCACCTATGCTGGCTCTGTGGCACACTGCCTGCTGGGAGTCCTTACATGAGGTGCCCTCTAACACAGCACCTATGCTGGCTCTGTGGCACACTGCCTGCTGGGAGTCCTTACATGAGGTGCCCTCTAACACAGCACCTATGCTGGCTCTGTGGCACACTGCCTGCTGGGAGTCCTTACATGAGGTGCCCTCTAACACAGCACCTATGCTGGCTCTGTGGCACACTGCCTGCTGGGAGTCCTTACATGAGGTGCCCTCTAACACAGCACCTATGCTGGCTCTGTGGCACACTGCCTGCTGGGAGACCGCACCGGTTTGGAGGAGGCTCCTGGAGCCATGCCAGGAGCTCAGGGGTCCAGGGTTTGGTCCTGACGCCTGTGGCCCATGCACTGCCCACCAATCACAGCTCAGAGGTTTGGAAATCGCTGCTCTAAGGTATTAACATTCAAATATATAAATATAGCAAACTAAGATGCTGAAACAACTTTGGATAACTTTATTAGTCAGAAGCGCCCATACTTCTAATCACATCATGACATCTGTATCCATTTGAACAATACACATAACAATCAAGCACGTTGACAATTTTAGTGAGAAATTTTGTCAGAACACAATTTACTAGAATTCAAAAGCAGAAGCAAAACTACCTTTACTTAAAAAAAAAAACCAGTGTAGTTCAACGAAACACTCAAGTGAGAGTTCTATATACAAGAATCAATTACCAAGAATTGTTTATAATCTATTTTAGAGATTACACAGGGAAAAATTCTCAGTCTCAGTAACTTCTCATAAAATTTCACTTCAAAAAGTTTATGGTAAAAACAATCCACATGTACTTTCTACTTACTTTTGGAACACTAAAAGAGCAAAAATAGATGACTAGGGTTACATGTTTACAACCAATACAGGAATCACACTAAAAGGACTTTTTCATAATTTCATTATAGATAATACATTAAAAATGTTACTACAAAATCATTTTTGAAATAGCAGAATTATTTCATATTTTCTTTGAGTGAGTGAGTGTGTGTGTGTGTGTGTGTGTGTGTGTGTGTGTGTGTGTATAAGAAACAAGATAGCCCTAGCTGGTTTGGCTCAGTGGATAGAGTGTTAGCCTGTGGACTGAAGGGTCCGGGTTCGATTCTGGTCAAGGGCACATGCCTGGGTGGGGGCTTGATCCCCAGTAGGGGGCATGCAAGAGGCAGCCAATCAATAATTCTCTCTCATCATTGATGTTTCTATCTCTCTTTCTAACTTCCTCTCTGAAATCAATATAATAAAAAGAAACAAGATAAAAATTGGACGGGGCACACACTCAAGACAATCTCATGTAAACTATGTAGCCAGTGCTTCACACTGAGCTTTGATTATCAAAATGACATGCTCAGTATTCTACAAGAAATGCAGGCAGCCCTGGCCCTGTGGGCTGGGTGTCCTCCAGACACAACAGGGTTGCGGCTTGATTCCAGGTCAGGGCACAGGCCCTGGTTGCAGGCTTGATCCCCAGAAGGAGGCATGCAGGAGGCAACCCCCTTCTGACATGGACGTTTCTCTCTCCCTTTCCCTTCCTCCCTCTCTAAAAATCAATAAAAAATCTTAAAATAAAAAAAAAGTACAGGCAAAAAAAAGTATACAAGAGTGATTTCCAACCGGGAGCCATACTTAGGGTATGGCATGGTATCTGAAAACATACACGTATAGGAAACATTGTCTACAGTCATGATTACTATGATATACTTCTTTTTTTTTTTGTATCTAGATATCATTGTAGTTTATAACAGAAAATTCATTTAAATACATTATTATAACCAGAGTGGTATTTTGACATTATGCATTTTCTCAATCAACATAGGACAGTGATGGCAAACCCATGACACGCATGTCAGAGGTGACGCGTGAACTCATTTTTGGGGTTGATTTTTCTTTGTTAAATGGCATTTAAATATATAAAATAAATATCAAAAATATAAATCTTTGTTTTACTATGGTTGCAAATATCAAAAAATTTCTATATGTGACACGGCACCAGAGTTAAGTTAGGGTTTTTCAAAATGCTGACACGCTGAGCTCAAAAGGTTCGCCATCACTGACATGGGACCATTATGATGCTTAAGTGCATGATATTTTAGAGCTTAAAAGGAAAACATATTCTAAAGCAGTAAATCACCAGAACAGTAAAGCAAGCCCTGCCCTACAAGTCAGGGGAAGTAGCTCCAGCTACACCACCCCTTTCATCAGGTCCTTGACCTTACATGGACTCTTTAAAAAGATAGCATGTGACTTACCCAATGAGATTGTTTTATTCTAAAAACTAGTGGCCCGGTGCACAAAATCCATGCACATTAAAAGGGAAGATACCCAGACCCAGCCAGCCCCACCCCCATTGGGCGAGACCCAGACCCGGCTGGCCCCACCCCTGTAACGTCCCCGGCTGGCACCGGGCAGGGATGCAGCGTCATGTCCCCACCCACCCATGTGCGCCTCATCAGGCACGCAGCCCTGCCCACCCGCACCTGCTACGCACACAGCCTCCTGCTGATCGGTCATTACTGCATGAGGGCGTCATGAACATTAGCATATTAGCTCTTTATTATATAAGATGTTTTCTTCTCAAATGTTTGTAACAAATAATTCAGAAGCCCAGTTAATGTCACAACTTCAGTTACCAAAACCAAAAAAGTATACTAATACACTTGGTGATCTTTTTCAAAATTATTTACTTTGTATGTATATTTACTTAACATAATTTCATGTAACAATTATTTTTACAGACAGATAATAGAAGCTATCACTCCAACCAGAGTCTCACTTGCAGACAGTTCCAGCACCAGAGGCACCATGGGCATAACACCTCATACACAGCTCTTACAACATGCGTTCTCCAAACTGCATGCAGGCTTCACATTATCACAGCAAACAGTTCCTCAACATACATATTTGTATATTCATGTGTACTGGTATGTGTATACATCTGTATAATGAAATACAAGAAGAATAAAGAATATGATAAAAATTGTTATTTTTATTAGAGAAATAATGGAGTAGAGGGAGTGTGATGACAGGGGGATTTCTCTCTTTATATACTTTTTCATACATTCTGTACAAATCTCACACATTTTGACCTATTATATTTTTAAACTAAAATTTAATTTTAAAAATGTAAGTGAAATATGGTTATTGATTCTAAATAATAGATTTAAATGGGAAGTCAGAAATCACTCTGTCCAACCTCCAATGCATATAGGGATCAGTTTAATAGGGCTTACTTATGTTTTTCTAATATCTTAGAAAAACGATACAGAAAAATGAACCAAAGTCAAGAACCAGAGACACTATCAGTGACGACTAGGAGGGTGGTCTGGGACAATTCAGAGACACTGCTAAACACACCCAAAAGACTGTATTCTTCAACAATAACTAATAAATGAAGCCTAATTAAAATTAATATTTTAAATTAACAGAGATTATATGTTTAAATTTATCTGGACTTACACTTAATCTGTACATGTCAATAAAGACAGACCTACTAAACTGTTTCAAATATATGTAAGCAAAGAAAAATCTTTCAAAGAAATTTGAAAGAATGGTTCTATTATACACATTGAATTAATAAATGATTTGCCCCAATTTTCCTATAATTCAAACACTGATTTTTTTATAAAATACAGTAACAGTTCTTATGAGTTAAAATATAGATATCTTAATCATGACAAAGTTTAGAAGCATATACAGCGAAGAAAGTGTATCTGATTAATACTTGAAAAACATATTCAAAGCTAACTTGTTAATCTAGTAAAAGGATGTGGTATATTACTTAATATGTCCCCAAAAAGGCAACCTATAAAAGACATCTGTAAAATGTATCAAAGCATTAAAGCCTATTTCAAAGAATATACATAATTATAGCAATGCAAAACATATGGGCAGCAAATAAATAGGTAAGATTAAAAGAATTCTACCAATAACTACAGTGTTTTAATCACAAAACCTATTATTAACAAAAAGACAGTGTGGCAGGATAGTAAGAAGCTAGGAAGTGAAATGGGGAAAGTGGAATAGGGAAACTGAGACAAGACAATTAAACAAGGCCGAACAGCCAAAGCCGGTTTGGCTCAGTGGATAGAGCGTCGGCTTGCGGACTGAAGGGTCCCAGGTTCAATTCCGGTCAAGGGCATGTACCTGGGTTGCGGGCACATCCCCAGTGGGAGATGTGCAGGAGGCAGCTGATCGATGTCTCTCTCATCGATGTTTCTAGCTCTCTAGCTCTCTCCCTTCCTCTCTGTAAAAAATCAATAAAATATATTTAAAAAATAAATAAATAAACAAGGCCGAACAGTGTGGGCAGCTTGCAGCCAGCCTGTGAATCCCAAGACCTCATCCTCCCCCACCAAGGACACTTGAGAGCAAATGGTTTACACCTTCCCTCACCAGAGAACACATAGCGCAAGCCCCCCTGGCCTGGGAAAACAGAGAACAAACAGCCAATTAATGCCACTTGTTCCAGCTAAATCCAAGGACAGGTGAAGTCTGGGGGACAAATAACAAAAACCCCCAAAGCATCTGGATGGTATCACTTGAGAGAGCAATGTTAGGCAGGATAAACAGCTGCTAGGGCAGGAGGAGGGAAGGGGGAAGGGGAGTTTATCTCACCCACTGATCAGTCAGCAGTCTGGGGACTTGACGAGATAAAATTGCCAGATGATCTAATAAATTCCGTGAAAAGTCACAGCAACGTAAAAGGGGGACCTTGAAATCTAGTCTGACAGGTGAACCTTGAAACCTATAGGGGGAAGTATAAAACTCTTGAACCCACACCAGGCGGGACGCTCAGACTAGCTCAGTTGCCCATTTGTGCTTTATGCCAAGTGTATTCTTAACAAATTTGCTTGCTTTGCTTCAACACTGCTTTCTATCACTTGTCTGAATTCTTTCCCACGAGCACAGGAGGGGAGGACCTCCTCTGACTTGGGCAGCTCTCGGTGACAACAGTGATGTTACTATGGTCATTAACACTATTTCTGAAGTGTTGTTCTACCTTCATAGTATCATGTCACTCCTTGTGGATTTCCATAATAGGGCCTTCTTTAAAGGCCCCCAAACTGACCAAAGTCCTCCCAATAAGGCCCTCAGAAGCCCTTACAGGACCTGAGAACAGTGACCTCACAGCCATCTGTCATGGCACTTGACTCAGTCCCCTGGAGGAATATTCACTAGTCTTAAAGTCACAGATACAAGAATGCTATTGTCTTGGTATACATTTTCCATATTCTTTAAGGAATAAAATACAAATACATATAAAGCCCTTATAAAACTATGAAGAGCCATCAGTGACTTACTATTGACTATCCGTAGGTACACTGTGGCAATGAAGCCTCGAACAACCTACCAGGCAGATGGTGCTACCTGTGTTTGACAGATGTAAAAGCAGAAATCTGCACTGCAGAACCTCACCACCCAGACAGCTGAGGAGTATAACTTCACTGTCTTTGACTGCCAAAGGAGTTACAACTAACCCTTGTAGGTATGCTACATTACATCAACAGCCAAAATATAACGCATTTACATGGAATAGTCTTACATACCGTAAAATTCTGCAATATTTTCATGTGGAAGCCACAGAGTTTGAAGCTCGGAAAACTAAGGACCCTTACGAAACTGAAGAATATCAGTTTCACAACTAAGACACCTCTAAAAAGATTCTATCTAGAAGTATTTCCCCATCTTTTCAGCATCATTCTTGGTATACACTAATGTTCAATACTCGATTAATGAATAAAATAGTGTATGTTGTCATTCTTTCAAAAGTTTGGTTACCTCAAAAGGATTATCCCATTTATATTTTCACTGGGGGAAAAAAACTTATTCTTCAGTCAACTTCTCCCTTCATTTACTTATTAGTAAATTACAATGATACTTCATGTTATCAGCATTTTTTATCTTAATCATGTACATTGTTCACTAGTTGAAACAGATTCACTCAATTTCATGGCTTAGAAATACTCACAAATATGGAAAATAAAAAAAACAATCTTTTGGTAAGCAGTATAAATGGGAAAACAACATTTAGCTTTCAATACTGTAGCTACCAATTTTAAAATACATCCTGTGAACAAAGGTAGGCACTACTACAAACACCAACCTTCAAAGCAAATGTCTATACTTAACATATTGTAGTGGGGCAGCTATTGCTAGTCAAGTAAAGTATTTTCTGAGCCACTGATAAATACAGCACACTGTTCTCGGTAAAAAAATACAATTTTTCCTTCCCAGCTGATCTTTCAGAAATATTATTCATGTACTACACACAAATGACTCAAATTATTGTTTCAACTTCCAAACAAGCTCCATGTTACAAAAGTGTCTAATACTGACAAAGCATCTTTTTTCTTGTAAACCAGTAAAAAAAAAAAAAGACAAAGGAATTATGGGTAATGGAATTCAAACCACAGAACACATTATAATAGGTTATTAGTGAGGAAAAATTAGACTGCAATTTAATTCATAATAAAATTTATTTACATACCAGCACAGAATATCCCTGGGACTTCACTCCTCACTATTACAGTCCGTACTTTCTTATCAGATTTTAAAGCATCCACAGCTTTTGAGAGCTAAATATAAACAGGGAGGATAAGAAGAAAAAGGGAGAACATTTTTCAGGTTGATGTCAACACTATAGCTTAATTTTAGAAGCAAAGAGTTTAATCTTTACACTCACCATTTTAACGAGATTTTTACTGAATGAATTTTTGGCATGAGCTCTGTTTATTCCAAGCACCACAATTCCTAGTTATGAAAAAAGCACAAGCACTTGAGTTAGTGAGTGTTCAGGGTACAGACTCCCACACAGCTAGTTAACTGGACACTTAAGAAATCTACCACCTCCTCGAAGTGCCCTCCAAGAGCTTAGTTTTGTGTTTACCTTCTGTTTCAAGCATATATTTTAAAGAATGTGGTACTGTAACATATTTATAAAATCAATCTTCTGCTTCATATTCACTGCTTTTCTTCTGACTGATACAGAAGAGCTTTAGAACATCATGTCCCTACAATTTATCTCTTTAAGCACCACCAAGATAATCAGCATATTTAAGTACACTTTATACCACCAAGTTAGACTAACTAGAAGGAAGGACACGCTTACTAGTGAAAATTCTCAATTACAGCGTACTACTTAAAATGCGGTTGTATCACCTTCACCTACCCACAGAACTAATGGCTAACAACAAACCCTTGGCACAGGCAAGGACAGCAGGACCAGCTTTTTGCTGGTGGTATTCATACCAGATATTACCACCTCAATTACTCTTTTTGTCATACTAACTAGTTTTCATTATCTCCATCCCAAATTTCTCTCCCTCTATTGCATATATGTAAAATGAAGGCACTTCCATTTGGAAATCTAACAAGCAACTCAACCTCAATCTATAGAAACAAAGTTCATTCTATCTCCCACAAAGCCCAGCTCTCCCTCCTAACTTCCCTAGTTTTATCAGAGACCATCACCTAAATCCAGGCTCTCATTCTAACTGCTGCAGTCAGATCAATATTTCAAAAATAATTCTAAGCATATAATTTAACCCCTGCTTAAATACCTTTAATTTTATCTTATTTCCAAAATGTCTGAGTTCAAAGACCTTAATTTGATATTCAAAGTTGTATATACCTGTACTCAACCCTGTCCTGAGTAAGCACAAATTTTCCTTGTATAACAGAAATGCCTTTCATCTAGTTGGGAATGGAGGTGGGTGTTAGGTCTGATCAAATAATTGGTCAATACCCTATCCCCTGGGAACTGACCTACTGGACCACTTCACAAAAGAAAGTCCCCTTCACTTGACCACATTCCACTTACTAAGACCATTATCCTTCTCCTGTGGACATTCCCAGGATCTGGAACTGCCCAGAGAATTCTCTGCCCAGAAAATGCCCACCTAGGAGTCCTTTAAAATCTCTGACTCCCCGCCAATGGGTGCTGATGCCAATTTGGGGCTCAACCCATCTGCTATCCAGATGACCTCATAAATTCATAATCCCTCAATACTTAAGCCTCGTGCCTTCCTCCTTCATCGACCCTAACATTTGATGCCAAAACCGGGGAGGATTCCACAGGGAAGGGAAGCCATCACCCTGGCTTCGCTTACCCCGAGTTTGCTACTCAGAGAGCAGTAGGCAGTGGCAGCTCATCTTGGACTTGCCTCCGAATCCTACTTGGTGATTTGATCACCAGCCTCGATCAGGCCTCCCTCCCTTGAGGGCCCTCCTGAACCAGCCAAGGAGGACACCGGATCAGGAACCTCTCCTTCTCCATAGCTGACCCTCCATCCCACACTGGCCAGTCTTCTCTAAGTGAGTGACATTCCACAATTTCATCTGGAGTCTTCTGTCCACTCTCTCTCTTACTGACTTCTCAAAGGTCTCTCTTCTCAAAAGCCCTAGCGCTAGGCCAGAAGGCTTCCCAGTAATTCAGCCCGGATCCTTCTGGACTGGGGACACCCAGTCTGGGGGGTCACGCCTTGTTTCTCATGGTGATTTGTTTAGCGTTGGGGACACCTGCCCTAAGCAGTCACCTTTGGATTTGTGATCCGTCACTCAGCCTTCCTCTCTCGTGGGCCACGCTAGACTCCCTCTGCACACTCACAGGGCAGGTCAGGCCCAAGGCCCTCATTTTCTTTTCTAACACTGTTTGGCCACAATGTGAGCAAAATAATAAGTCTCAATGGCCTGAAAACTGCACTTTCCATTTTAACACATTGTGCAATTTAGATAATTGCTGTCACTGCAATGAAAAACGGTCAGAGATTCCCTCCGTCCAGGCCTTTTCACCCTTCGGTCCCAATCGTCTCTCTGCCAGTCCTGCCCTACCCGTCAGGTCCTTCTCCTTCACACAAAACATCACCCCTAACACTTCTGATTCTGAATCTACTTTTGACCCAGCAGACCACCGACCGCTACCCTCTTTTATTCCTGTGCCCCATCTACCCCGGAGGGAGGGAGCAGAAACTGAGGGAACTGTCTGGGTAAACGTCTGATTCTCTATGTGGGACCTCGCACAGATTGGGAGGCCTCTGGGGTCTTTTTCTACCGACCCCACCACCTTTACCACCTTTACTGAGTAGCTGACCCAGTCCTATGACCTGACCTGGCACAACGTCTATGTCCTCCTGTCCTCCTCTCTCACCCCGGGACCATGCTGTGCCCTCCACAGACAAGACTTGGTGGCCAACCCAGTTGGCGCTGATGTGGTCCCCCAACTGACCTGAGATGGGACTAAAGGTTCCTTCCCGACCCCACCACCTTTACCACCTTTACTGAGTAGCTGACCCAGTCCTATGACCTGACCTGGCACAACGTCTATGTCCTCCTGTCCTCCTCTCTCACCCCGGGACCATGCTGTGCCCTCCACAGACAAGACTTGGTGGCCAACCCAGTTGGCGCTGATGTGGTCCCCCAACTGACCTGAGATGGGACTAAAGGTTCCTTCTCCAGGGAACCAGCCAGACTCAAAAGTCTGTCCATAAGGCGGTCAGCTATGACACAATAAAATCACTCAGGGCCCTGACGGAAACCCAGCTCTCCTCCTCCCCCACCTCAAGGAGGCCTTACGGAAATTTACCACCTTAGACCCCACCTCCGCAGAAGGAACCCTTCTTCTGAACACTCACTTTATAGCCCCATCGGCCCCCGACATATGCCATAAACTTCAAAAAACAGACACGGTAAACAAACATCTCAAAAAGACTTTATTAACCTGGCCTCTAAGGTCTTTAATAATGGAGACGAGGAGACCCAAATCCAACAACAAGGGGAGATCAGGCCAAGGCTGAGGCCCAGGAGACCTTCCAGCTCCTACCTACTGCTCTCACAAACCCCAAACGAAGTGCTGGTCCTCCAACAAGGGTAGGACAGGGGTTAAGCCTCCTCCAGGCCCTGTTTCAAATGCAACAAGGAAGGACACTGGGCTAAGTCCTGCCCAAACCCAAGACCCCCGCCTGGGCCCTGCCCAAGGTAAAGAAGGAAAAGCCACTGGAACTCAGGCTGTAGTCTGTCCCCTCCAGGTCAGACCTCAGCCAGCGCAGCAAGGCCACCTTATGGATCTGGTTTGGAGCTTCCAGACCTCCTGGGATTGGGCATTGAAGACTGAAGCTGCCTAGGCCCTGACAGGGCCCCACAGACTTACATCACCAGGGCAGAGCCTCGGTAATGATTTTGGTGGCACATAAGCCAATCTCCTTTTTAATTGACACCTGGTGCCACTTGTTCTGCCCTCCACGAATTCACAGGGACCCTTGTCCCCTCCTTAGTCTCTGTTATGGGGGTTGACGGACTAGTCTCACAGCCATTAGCCACCTCACCTCTACACTGCATCTTACTAGACACCCCCTTATCCACCCTTTTCTTGTTCTACCTCGGTGCCCGGCCAGGGCTGCAGTGCATCCCCTCATAAAGCCAGTTGTCCCAAACCACAGTCACCTACCTCGGTTTCACTCTCACCCCACAAAGCCGAGCCATTCCTTGGACTGTAAATGCATTTTT